GGAGGGTGGGGGGAGCCTAATGAAGAGCTATGTATGACTCTGTTGTATCGCTCCCATCTAAAGTCTATCTATCTATCCAAAGTCAACATACCCGAGAGATATTCCCAGACAGTAGGATGAAAGTCTCTAAGGCTGTGAAGATGTTGGTGCAGAGGTATGCAATTTCAGCCAAACAAGAAAAGCGCAAGTTCAAGGAATCTATTGCACAATAGATTATAACCATATGGAGATTATAACATTGTGTTTTAAAATATCACTAAGAGGGTAGATATTTTTGTTACCACAAAAATAGTGAGGAAACATATTAGCTCAATTTTTCTGTCCCCCAATGTGTATCTTTAAACATCGTGTTCAACATTAACTTATAGAATTGTGTTACTTAAATTTAACTAATTTATAAAAATAATATTTATACCAAATACCTGTAGAATAGCCACTAAATTACCAGGTTCCTCTGTTTGGACTACTAATATATTACAGTATCAATTTCAAAATATCAGTCATCCTTGCTTATATCTATAGAATTAGAACCACTAAGGTACGGTAGTCTTAACTCGTGGTTCACAGTTTCTTTAGGGTTTTTTATTAAAGGCTTGTATGGTTCATAAACTTTTTATGAGCATATGTTTGAATGAATGGAAAGAGACAGAAAGGAAGACAGGAAGAGAGAGGAAATCAGAAATCCTTTATTTCATCAATCAAGTTTTTGCTGGCTTCATAAAATGATTTTTATAAGCTTGTATGGCTTCTAATTATATTCATATTGTCTTAGTCAAGGTCTTATTGTTGCAACAAAACACCATGGCCAAAAAGCAATTGGGGAAAGAAAGATTTTATTTGACTTACACATCCAGATCACAATCTATCATTGGAGGAGGTCGGGACAGAACTCAAGCAGGGCTGGAAGCTGAAGGCAGGAGCTGATGCAGAGGCCATGAAGGGTGCTGCTTACTGGCTTGATTCTCCAGGCTTACTCAGGCTGCCTTCTTATATAACCTGCCCAGGGATGGCACCACCCACAATTATTTTGGAGTGGGCCCTCCCCCATTGGTCACTAGTTGAGAAAATGCCCTACAGCTTTATCTCAAAGAGGCATTTCCTCAACCGAGGCACTTGTCTCTCTGATGATTCTAGGTTGTGTCAAGTTGACACCCAAAACCAGCCAGTACACATATAAGCATAAAAAAACTTTTGTGTTTTTAAATCAGCAAAGACTGGAAATACAGCTTATGTGGGCTCGGAACATTATAATAATATTTGATCATTTGTTGTGCCTGCCATGGTAATGTTTTCTATTTTTTCCCCCTTCTGTGTTAACAAGTTAACCTCTTTCTGAAACAATTCAACATACACAAACATAAAGTATCCTTGACTTACAGGCTGCCTGCATAGGTTTAGTTATACTGTATCAAGACTCCCCTTGCTCCCCTTCTCTCTCTCCAGCTACATTCTTTACATTCATTTATTAAACAAAGAGTAAACAATGTCCTGATTGCTTCCAACAGTACTTTTAAAGAGCTGTCACTTAGTTACTTTCTGAAATCCCTCTGCCCAGCCTAGCTCAGGCTGTTGTGGGAAAGGAAGCCTGACCTTCTTCCTACCTGCTTGCTCAGACACAGAGATACAGTTACCAATCAGCACTTTCAGAAGCTGCATGTTAGCAAAACAGGTCATCTTGCCAATCACTTACAATGTAAAATGGTAAGAACTGGATTTGATTCACAACCTACAAGGCTTCCAAGAAGAGAAAAGAGAGGAGGGGTGAGAGGACCTAGAAGGAGAAAGGAGACCTTGATGTGACTTTGGGCTCGAGCCAGGCTTTGCAAGAGTAGCCAGGCTTTGCAAGAGTAGCTACAAAGTTCCCTCATCAGAAACTGTAAGTCCATGAATGAAACCATAAGTCCACTCAGGTTTAAGACTATGAATGGTCAACTCGCCAAAATTACTTTCAGTATGCCTTTATTCATACTCAGTGTTTAAAAATGATCTAATTTATGTTATTTTGATTAGGATTTAGACAACTCTTTTTTTAATTCTTTATTAATTTAGACAACTCTTTTTAAGGGTACAGAACATAGATTGACAGAATCAGTCCATGGTAGCTATCGGTCCTAATCTGAGCATGGCAGCACATAGAAAAACACTCATTCATTCAAACATTCATCCATTGCCAGTACCAGGAGCTATGTTGGCTTGAGGCAAATATAATGTACAAAACTAAATAAGGTTTCAACTCCAAGTCTTCTGTACTTGGCCAGGTAGAGATTGAATGTGAAATAGATTTACTTTCTTCCCAAATTTTTATCTTAACCTATCCCCAGAAAATCAGTATGGCTTATATAGACACAGAAAAACGATGACTTGTTTTTCCACTCCACTCGATCCCTTTCTTATCCCACCACTTATCAATTTCCATTTTTTATAGAGCTCATTTCCACTTTAGAGAAACTGATAGTGAAATACTAATGCTTTTCAAAAAGCTATCCTTCGCTTCAGACTCACTCCAAACTGATCTTTATTTATTATAGGACGCTCTGCGCCCTTGTCATAGTTGAGTGCGTACTCTCGGGTACCCTGGCTCCCCAGCTGCAGCAGGCCTGCACATGAAGTAACATGCCTATGATTTAGGCTCAAGCGTTTTGTTCATTTGATTTTGAAATTATGTTTAATTAATTCCTCCCTCCCTCTCTCTTTTTCTCTCTGTCTGTCTGTCTGTCTGTCTGTCTCTCTCTCTCTTTGTGTGTGTATGGAAGATAGAGGAATTGGTTCTCTCCTCCCACCATGTGGATTCTAAGATTAAACTGTCTTAGTGGGAAGTGAGTACCTTTACCCACTGAGCCATCTGGTCATTTTTGAAATAAGTTACAATTGATTCCCAGGCTGCTTGGCATCCTGGAGATTTCTTAATGTTAAAGTTTTAATACACTTGGTTTGTATAGTAATTATTTTAAAAATTCTAACAAGATTAAAACAGCTAAATTGTAAGTATAGACTTCTTTAGAAATAAGACATTAAGTTATAACTTAGGAGGAAATGTGAATTCATCAAAAACTATTCTTATTCTTCTAGAGATTGGTATTATATTTGTATGACCACACCTCTGCATTTACCAAAGAATTAATGAATTAATAAAATGAGCTTGGGTCCATTCCTGTGTAACTCATTTCTGGGTTGGTTTGCAAGGTGCTATCACCTGGGATTTGGGGTCCTCGTTACTATTCCTTACGCGATATGGTGACTCTTGCTCCCAGCAGCACTGGGAGATGCTGTACTTCCCTCTCCCTCACATGAAACTAATACAGAAACGACTCTTTGAAACAGAGACGTATGTGTGACCTTGAATTATTCAGGACATCTATTACTAATGAATGGACTTCTTGGAGCTCTTAAAATTGGGGCAACTTCAATTGCCACTGCAGTGCCTGCAGCTGCTGGGCAGTCAAAGAAATCAACCCTACAAGAGGATGCCACACCTGAGGGCCCGCTATCCCTCAGCCTTCCCTACTTGAAGAACAGTGTCATCACAGCTGCAGAGTGCTTGACTAAGATGTTACGCCGGGGAAACAAAGGAAGGTAAGGAGCTGTCCAGACTGGATGGGAGGCCAGCTTTCCACACCACACAGGGCACTGCGGGGCATCTGTGGGAGCACCACCATACAGAGGAGAGCGTTGACCTTATTTCTCTTGCTGTATGATTCAAAACAGACACTACTTGAAATATTCAGAAACTTCCCAGGTCTTGGCAAGTCTTGGATTGCCACTACTACTATCCTTCTGTTTCATTTCATTTCGCAAAAGCTCGAGATAGAATTTTAGGTAGACAAGGCTGGCTGCATAGCCAAAGATGACCTTGAACTTCTCACCCTCCCGAATTATGGCCGCACATCATTATACTCATTTTCTATGGCCTGGATCAAACCCAGGGCTTCATGCATGCTGAAGTACTCCACCAACTGAACCACATCCCCAGCTCATATTTTATTTTAAGAAAAAGTTGAATCTTTTTCTTATACTTTTTATTTAAAATGATATTTTTCTGCCAAATAATTTCTGTTTTACTTTAACCCATCCACTTCCTGGAATAGTGGAAAATATTATGTAAGTTTAATCATGGCGTGACCTGTTAAATGTCTTGATCTGCTCTTGTTAAGGGATGTCCTTTTTTGTTAGAACTGTGTAAATTGTTCTCACAACATGCTTTTTTAAGATGCTTTTAGATTTGTTCATTTTGTTTTATGTGTGTGAGCATTTCACCTGCATGTATGAAGGTGTGCCACGTGCGTGCACAAAGGTCAGAGGAGGGTGTTGGGTCTCCTGGAATTGGAGTTCCAGATGGCTGTGAGCCAACGTGTGGGTGCTGGAAACCAAACCCAGGTGATCTGAAAGAGCAACAGGCGCGCTTATCTGCCAAACCATCTCTCCAGCCCAAGCTCAGCATCCTTTTTATTGACCAGTGACTATAGCTTATAGGTTACAGTTGTTAACTAGGGAGCTACTTCACTGACTTATCTAAACTGTGTGCTTAATTCTGTACAGACATCTATGTATACATACGTATGATACATGAATAGCATTTTTATTTAAAAAAAAAAAGTTCATGTATAGAATTATTTGGCATAGTTTTATCAGGAATCCAAGCGATTGAGGTCTTCGTAGTTGACCTTCCCCATTCAAATAAACTTAATATTTTCTTCAAATGAGAATTCAGTTCACTTTTAAAATGCAATTCTTTCCAGCTTTTAAGTATCAGCCTATTTTAATCATTCTTGGTTTTCTGAGAAAGCAACTTCTATCCCAATGTTCCTTGTTTTTGTCCCTCAAGCAGGGGATGTAATGGTCTCTCTGAACACCTGTGTTCACCGCTCCACAGGTGAGTGATTCATTGGCTGCCCCTCATCCATCATCCCTCCTCTGTGAAACCTTCTGCAGAAAACGTTGGTTCATTTCTAGTTACAAGGACCATCTTGCCATCTGTCCCATCATCCCAGGAAAGCTGTGAGATGGACCCAGGTAAGCAAGGTGAGTATTTATTGTTAGTCTGTAGACAAAGCTTGCAGACAAAAATTAAACCACAAATGTGGTTTTAGACTTCTGAGTCACAGAGTAAAGATAAGGCAAATTTGTGGGTGAAAAGTAATTTATTAGGTGAATAAAATGATCTTCTCTCCTTTAATCAGAAGTACATAACATGCAAAAAATATTTGATCTGTTGTCTCCAAATTACCAGAAATAATTTAACAAAAAAACTTAACATCAATATAATTATATTTTAAATTACTATTATCATCCCAAAATCTTGTATCCTGTTAAAATGACATCTCTGCAAATGCTTTATTATCAAGTTAAGTTCACAGTCCTACATGGATCCAAAGTGAGAAAAGGATCCCTAGCTGTCACTAAATAAATATTTGGTAAATGGACCTGGGAAAACTGATCTATCTGGTTCTAGACATCTAGATGCCCAAAGCCCCAGAGACGTTAGTGGCATTTTTAGTTTTGAATTTATTTGCAACTTTATTTCCTTAGCAAATATAGACTGTTAACCTTAGTTGTTTGACTTGAAAGTCTATGATCTCGTATTATTTACTGAAAACAACAATATAAATGTTTCAAGTTATCTTTGGTCTTTTCATGAGCCCTTCTACCAACATGCTATCCACAAAGCAGTGGATAACTCATTTACAGTTCAATTTTCTGCCCCTAATGCAGTTTTTCTCAATTCAGTATGCATCCATGGGGCTTGTTAACTATTGGCTTCTGCCTGCGAAGTTTGTGATTTGGTGTTTTCGGGTGGAGTCTGGGAATGCTCGTTGTTGGCAAGTTCCCAGCCAACACCAGTAGGGCTTTCTCAGGCCGTGTTTGGAAGCCCCCTAGCCTACTGTGTGTATTTCTAGATATCAAACTAAGGTGGGAAACTGAAAGAGATATTATCATATTCACCTTGATACGTGTGGAAAATAAACGCAATGACGCGGCTGAGCAAAAACAAGGATGGGCTGAAGAACAAAATTGTTTCTCAAACTGCTCCTATAAACAAAAATACACACAGTGTGTATTGTTATAGCTTTGATTACCTAAAACTGCCTGTTCATAGCTTGAGCTGTAAGGATATATCTCAAAGTCTCGAGGAGATGGGGCTGGCGTCAGGTCACCTGGGATACTAACTCATTCTCCACGGTATGTTGTATCACAGCTTGCCACGTTATGCTGCATAACTTCATCAGATGACGCTGCAAAGCCTCACTTGACAGGAATGATTGGCCAGATGGCTGTGCAGCTTCATGCCTCCCCTTCCACAGGAGCTGCAGCTGGGGGCCTGCAAGTCCTGGCTTTGCTGATTCTCTGTATCCGCTTGATGCGTCAGAGAGAAATCAGGGCACAGAAACCCGCTGATTTCTAGGGGAACAAAATGTGTCAGAATCACACTTTCATAAATTATTTCTGCTCTGCTCTACTCTCAGTGTGTTTTTCTCCAGAGGCTAAGATGTTCCTGACTTCTCCCACTTTCTAATGTTGTCTGAAAAGTAAGCACGCTTAAAGCACAAGGAAACGCTGAATCCCAAAAGATTCAGAGCAAAGGTTGGGATCTGTAATTCGCTTGTATAATACACTGTCTTTTTCAATAAGCAGAGCTCACATCTATTTCTATATGGGTCTTTGACTCATGATTATGTATTTCTTGTTGAATTAATATACAGTTAGCTGTTCTTCGGTATTTACAAAGAATTGATTCTGATTTCCCAGAGATCCAAATCTGCAAATGCTTAGATTTCATACTAAAATGTCATGGTATTTGCATGTAACTGGGCATATTCTGACCCATGCTGAAAATCATCCCTAGATTATTTATAATACCTAATAAAATATAAATTCTATGGAACTAGTTCTTATTATGTATTATTTGTGAATTAACTTAAAGAAAAAGCCTGTGTTCATGCAATTTTATGATTATTTTTGATCCTTCACCTGATTGAATCTGCAGATGTGGAAACTTCTATAATACAGATAACCAGCTGTTAAATTAGGAGTGAGGTTTGTGGTATGCTCTAACTTTGCAAAGATGAATCTAGCCTGGCTCAGCATTCCCTTGTTGAACTCCTCAGCCATGGGATTTTTCAGCTGGATTCACAGTAGCAAATATGAATTGCTTCCTGTGAAGCAGGCCTAATATTCTATCAGAAAGCAATCGCTTAGCCCTATAACAGATGTGACACTTTTACACCAGTGGGTTAGTATTGCCTGGCCAGGCACTATTGTTGCATACAGGGTTTGCAGCTGGTGACAATTCTTCCCCAGCAGCCTACACAGGACCTTCTGGCATCATGAGCTAAAATTTTGTGATGAAAATTGAGCACGCCTAGAGGCAGTCCTGACTGCCATCTTTATTACACCAGATGAGCACATCCAGATGTCTCTGTGTTTTTAGCCTTTCAAAAATGTGTTTGTTCCACATCTGGGGGTAAGCGTGCCCAAAAATGTAAATGTCATATTTCCTTCTAGACCAGTATGTTTAAACCAAATATGTCAGTAATATGATTTTAACATGTTCAAAAATATGGCCGCCCTTCAAATGAGATAGATATATAGACATAGAGTTATAGATGATATAGATATATATAGATATATAAATATGTCCTGCCCTTCCCAGATAAAAGTTCATGCTTTCTTTCTTCAAGGAGAACATTATTTAACCATAATTCTCATGATCTCTTTATCTCCTGTCAGCAATAAATCTTTCTGTATTCTTTTATTTCTTGATGGCACTAACTTTGGCTTTGCACTCACCAGAATCCAAACCATTAAATTTTGTTGCACTAAGGCCTTGGTGAGGTGAGCTTTACTGACAGCTCCTTAAATTCAAAGAAGTTTTAGCTCTCCCCCAAAGAATTAGGAGAGCTTGGACTTTGAAACCCACACAGGTATGATCAAGAAAATACTGCCTTTTCACCCTTTAAATACCCCAGTTGCTGCCTGGAGAAGAAACAAAGAAACAAACAAAATCTTACAATAACTCTCTTGCCACATATGCTGAGTCAATGAAATCCCCTGAACTGCTCTTTATTTGGTTCCCTTTGGGGGCCCACTTAGCAAAGGCTGAAACACTGCCTGTGTTTCTAATCACAAAATTTCCACTGCACAGCAGCCCATTTATTCCTAATGCCCTGTATCTTGGAAATCAGCTGATGTTAAATTTGAAATTAGTTGTAATTTGAAGACTCCTTCTCCTTGGCAGAGTTAATATGTCAGTCTTGAGCTCAGAGCCTAGGCTGTATGCAAAACATTTGCTTCAGAAGGATGATTGTGGTTATAAACTATTGGGCTAAAATTTGTCATCACAGAAAATGGCTGATGTATAAGTTGCTCAAAACACAGAAAACAAAATGCAAGGATGGCTCTTTCCATAATTTACACCATGTTTTGTCTTTGCTCAAGAGGTCTAACCAATCCAAAGTTCCTTATTCATAAAGTTTCTGTACCCCACTTTCTTAGCTTGCTTCCTGTTGTTGTAACAAACATGGCCAAAGGCAGCCTGTGGGAGTAAAGGGTTTATCTCGTGCTGCAGCTTCAAGTTGGTCACGGTGGTACTTCGGGGCGAGATCTTCAGTAGAGCTTTGGAGGAAAGCTGCTTACTGGCTTCCTGAACACCTCATTTGCTCCGCTGGCATTTTTGAACAACCCAGGAACACCTTCCCTGGGGTGGGACCATCCACAGAGGACTGAATCCTCACCCATCAATCACTAATCCAGTCAATGGCCCCACAGACTTGCCTAGAGGTCAGTCTAACAGAGGCATTTTCTCAGCTGAGGTTCCCTCTTTCCAGATGACTCTTGCTTCTACCAAATGGACAGAAAAACAGCATGTCCTACCGCGTACTAAGTGAGTGAACTGGTCCTCATTCATAAAGAAAACAGCAGCTCTCAAAAAGGAACAGACATCATCCATCACATCCCTTCATTTTAGTCTTTCTCTCAGAGAATGAAGGATGGGCTTCTCAAAAAAAAAAAAAAAAAAAAAAAAAAAAAAAAAAAACCTTTCAGCTGCGCATCCCCTTCCTTCCGGCCTCTCTCAGCAGTATTCAGTTGCAACAGAACATTTTGCTCAAAGAGGCTTTCTTTACCTTGTATCATTGATAACTTCATGAAAAAAACTGTTTTATAATGAAATGACAATAAGATAACAGTGCATTGCATTTTTGGAAATTGCTTGAAGACTAGATCTTATATGTTTTCACCACGAAAAGAAAGTATAATGTAAGGTAACGCATACATTGGTTAGATTTGTGTCACTGACCCAGAATGTGAATATTTTCAAAACAACATATTATACAAAGTAGGACTGCGGTGTAGCCCAGTGGTAGAGTAGCTATACTATACCACTGGTCTGAAGCCAATAAATAAAATGGCAGGCATTAAAACTACCCCTTGGCTTTCTACACTACTGCAAACAAGGTAGGGTGTCCTTGATAGACCTTGTCAGGAGAGTGTTGAACTAAATCACTATTCACTGATTGAACGTGGCACAGAAAAATAGATTGAAATTTATTTTCTGTTTCTATTTGTGAGCCATAATCTATACATATATCCATATATCTGAAAAGAAGACATTGGTAGCTGATACCAAGATCTGTAGGCGATCTTGTTGTCTACAGAAAGTTTCCACAAGTCATTTGCAAGTTCCTGCACCCTAGACAATTGCTCTAGAATGAATAATTATTTTTTTGTATGGGAGGCTTTCAAAAGTTTAGCTTACATCACATCTATTTCAACGTCTTAGTCATGTGAACATTATTGCGCCAAAAAAACATCCTATAGCCATGCTACAATGTGCATCTGTCACAAGCCCCTGGTGACACAGATGTGGCTGAGGCAGAAGCCACACGCAGAGGACCATTGCTTTGAACCATCAATAGCCAGCTTTAGCAGGCAATTTCAGCTGCCTAAAATAAACTAGATAATTCATGTGTAAGACCTTATAGAGCTTCATTGAGCTGCATTCCCAGCATGAGCACACAGTCTGCAGTTTTAAATTTTGCTAGCTGTGAAGACTGATCACCAGTCTTATCAGACAAGAAATCTGTCACAAGACAACAAAAGGCTGTGCCGTGCAATGGCTACGCGTCTTTTCCTATCTTAATTGTCTCACCTACAAAATAAGGCTGTAGGGACCTTCTGGTTCCCTCCCAGGGCGTTGGATATGCTCAGTGAGATAGAACTTATCAACCATGCTTCATGTTTTCTTTGCAGGTGCTCTTATTAGGATTGAGAACTCTGTCTACAGAACAGCCTTCAAATTACGCTCTGTGCAAACTCTTTGCCAGTGTAAGTACGAGTCCTTCGTAACACTCTAGACAATCTGATATCGATGATGTGTGCTGTTCAAATCACAGAGGAAAGCAAAACTTGCCCCACTCACGTAACTGCCTGGATCAGGAAAGCTGGACCTGTGCATCTAACCCACTGGTAACACACAAGAGGTGGGGGGCAGGGGAGCCCATTGTACGCAATCTACCTATATGCTGCCTTGCTGACAGCAATGGGAAAGGTGGGCAAGGGTTTTTGAGAGAAAAAAAAAAAAAAAAGAAGTCCCAAATGCCGAGATAAAGTATCACATGAGCTCCAAGTAGCAGGATCCAGAGACTATCACTATTTGAATCTTGTGAGATTAATGGACAGCGCCCTTATCTGCATGGCTGTAATTTAGAACTCTCACAAGACAAGAACCCCCTGCATTCCAAATGTCAGGCCCAGGTGATAGGGGCTTGTGATGAATGATAAGAAAGTTTACAGCTGCTGCCACCTGTGGCCAGGTTTTATTTAAGGCACGGTTCCGAAACCTGCTTCCCTATGCCTTAGATTCTTCCCTTCAAAGCAATATGAGAAAACAAATAAAAATTTTTATTATGCTTGGTGGGTTCCTTATCTGTGAGGGTGATTTACGAAGCAGTGAGAAGCGAGGGGCTTTATCATTTCACAGGCTGAAGTATTTTAAATGCCAGCAGCTCTTGGGGGATCTTGACATCCCCACCTCTTAGGGGGTACAGGGAGTGTTTATTAATCCTGTCTGTCACCCTCTGTTGCTGAGAAACTATAGGCTAGCTAGATTTCATTCTTCTCTCTATTCTTTGCCTTGTAAACTTTTTACATGATGGTGATATATATGTGTGTGTGTGTGTGTGTGTGTGTGTGTGTGTGTGTGCCTGTGAAAAATAAGCCACCATTTCTGTGAATAGCCCTGATTTTATGAAGTACCATCTGTAGATGATAATATTAATGGAACCAAGATTTATTTTTCTAAAGGTGATTTTGCTGAGGAAGAGACCTACAGGGCCCAGTAATTCAGCCACTGCTTGCAGGGTGCTGTTGAGGTTTATTTTTTGCTGTGGCACTTGCGAACACAACACGTTCCTTCTGAAGCTGTAGACAGGAAAGCTGTATTCGAGTAGGAAAGGCCAACGTTCATTCTTCCCAGGACACGGTGAAAAATACCTCTCCCACTTCATCACCCCAGGGTTTCAACTTCCTTAGAAGGCTTATTCTTCAAGTTTCTGACTCTTTTTTAACTTCAGCCTATAAAATGGCACCCCAGCAACTGTCCTATTGTTGGTAATGGAAGTTTTGGTTCCTTGGTAAACTCAGTTATGTTATGTAAATATGTTTTTGTTTTAATTCCAAGTGTGAGATTTTAGTTTGGGCGTTCATTTGTCCACAGCTGATACCTGTCTCATGTGGGGCATGGTCTTTGCCAGCTGATAATGGCCTGCCTTGTGTGGCACAGAGAGGGGCGGGGTCTTGGACTCTGAGGGATATAAATATGAGAGACCAGAGAGAAAAAATGTGGCATGAAGTGTTGGCTTGTGGAGTGTAGCAGTTTGGAGTGACTAGATATGGACAGTGTGGCAGACGGAGAGAAACATCTCAATGCAGCAGCTTGAAGGAACTGCCTGCTGTGTTTGCTGATGGAGACTGGAATAGCCCCAGGGGAACCCATGGACCCCAAATAGCTGGGAAAAGTAAAGGGGTCTGTGCGCCCTCTCCCCACTCTCCTTGTGGGGTTCGAAGGAAGAGGCTTTAAGAACCCCCAAATAAAGCAGAGTTTAAAAACGAGTGCTACAACCAACAGGGTTTCCACACCTTAATGAGATACAGCGCTCCAAAATTAAATGGACTGCCAGAAGAGTCATGGCGGAATTACATACAAAAGATCTGCATCCATGTTGAACATATTTAGTTCTCTTTAAGAAAAAATGGCCACTGTTAAAAAAAAAAAAAGTCTCATTCAAACACCAGGAGATATTTGCTGTGTTTGAAGCCATTTGCTCTCATCAAGAAGTAAGTTTCCACCCTTTGCTTGCTTCCTGCAGTGGACCTGATGGACAGCTCCCTGATTCAGCAAGTTCTATGGTGTGGGCGTTTGGGGGCAAGCACAGAGACCTGCCTTTCAGTGCAGCAGCTTTTTCAGGAGCTCCGGGAGCTGTTTCAAAGAACCGGGATGGGAAACCCAGCTCAAGTGCATCCGAGAGCTCCCGAACTCACTCTGAGTCTCCTCATGGCCATGTATGACAGGTGAGGATGTGAGGATCGCCAAGTGGCCACAACAAGATCTCAGGCTGCTGGCCATTTGGTTCTGTCTAACATTCCCTTGAGATCTGGCATGTAAGATGTTTTTCATTTGTCCCTAATTGATCATTACCCACCCAAAATGGAAATAAAGAAGTGTTCCTAAGTGTCTCTGGTACAAGCGACTCCTGGCTAGAAGCAGGAAATCCCTTTCTTTTCTACAAATGCAGTTCTGTTCCAGAGCAGTCTCCCTACCTTTCGGAAGGGTAAAAGATGTTTATCCTTGTTCTTCACTCTCTGGTACCACATTTCTTATTCACCTTCTTATCAAGTTTTGGCTTGGTTGGGCGTTTAGCTGGGATGGAGTTGGCTATCCAGCACATAGACAACTAACAGTTGACATTGTGAGGGCGTGTGTGTCTGTGTACAACGTGCCTTTGCCAAGCTGGGATTGTTCTCCCCACCCTTTCTCAGTTAGTCTAAGGAGGAGGAGGAGGAGGAGGAGGAGAAGGAGGAGGAGGAGGAGGAGGAGGAGGAGGAGGAGAAGGAGGAGGAGACAATGATGCTGATGACATGAGCTTGCCTCCAGGAAGCAAGCACAATGTAAATCATGGGCAAATCCCTGTGGTTGTTTTCTTCCCTAATTTGCTGCTTATTTTCTAACTTCACAAACAATAGATAAATAAACTATTAAGTAATTCTGCCATGGTTTCCATCTCTTTAAACCTTCAGCCTCTGAGTGCCTTTCAGTTGCTGTGCTTATCTACCACAGCCCTTGTACCTTTGACAAATTGTCCCTCCAGGGGTGAGATCTCCACAGCTAGTGGGGCAGAGTGCCATCAGGCTCCAGGGTAGAGCCCGTGAGTGTTTTTGGAAGGGACACATGCTTTTTCTTTTTATTCTCGTCTTTGCAGGTAGGTGAACCCTTAATGGGTAAGACTGCCCCCTCCACCAGGATAGGCCACATCCAAACACCCAGCCCTTACACGGTGCTTATCACACAGAGACAAGCATTCAGTAAATAGTTACTGAGTGATTCATGGACAAAAGAATGGAAGAGACAATCCTTTTCACTCCATGGCCTGTTCTGGCAAGTTCATAAATACACGAAGAGACCATGAGAAGCTAGCAACATAGCATCACACGATAAATATCCATCAATAGTTACACTTTTTATGAACCACTTTATCTAAATGACCCCGGCTCTTCCACTCTTGTCTGTGATCTGTGGCCCTACAGCACAGGATCAGGTGTTCTTAAGCTTCGACCTGTGGCTGCCGCGCTGGTTGCCCTCTCGGGGGACAGCCCTCTCACAAAGTACAGAGGTAACATGCAAAGAAGTTGAGTGTGTTGTGAAGTGCGGTGACCCCCCAGGCCCAATACGTCATCCTGTCTGCTGGCTTCTGAATCCCTGTGACTCGCTCTCCAGCACGTCTCAGCATGAGTTTGCTTTTGTTTGGCTTTATTTATTTTTTTTTGACTCTTTACTTTTATTTTATGGCTGTTTTGCCTGCATGCATGTCTGTGTAGCACGGAAGCACTGTGCCTGCTGAAGCCAGAAAAGGGGGAGTCAGATGCCCTGCGACTGGAGTTACAGATGGCTATGAGCCTTCTTGTGGGAACCAAACCCAGATCCTCTGGAAAAGCAGCTAGTGCTCTTAACTGCTGGGCTGTCTCTCTAGTCCTTGTCTTGTTTATATTTAAGGAAAATGTCTACACTTGTGGGCAGCTCAGGGTTTTCTTTAAAAATCTAGGCTTTCTGGTTTTGCATTCCCTGGATACCCTTGAAATTTATGAGTTTAGAGATCATCCAGAAACAACTAATTACTGTTTTGTTTTGTTTTGTTTTGTTTTGTTTTGTTTTTCAATGAGATCCTTATTTTATCATTCACCAACCTTTATCACAGAGGTCTGGAATAACCGGGGGTGGGGAGTGAGGTGGAATGTGACTAGGTTATTATTGATGGCCTGCCCTGGAAGGCTTTCACAGGAACAAGCAAACAAGAATATAAACAAGCAAAAGAGAATATAACTCCACATTTCTTTCATACTCACAAAGAAGCTTTCTTAAATCACATGCTTTTCGAGGACACAAAGATTCAATGAAAGATTTCTTCTCCCTTTACGTGCCTAGCTTTTTTTCAGCTCTATGCAGAAAACAATAGGAGAGGTGATGATTCCCGAGCCCGCATGACTCGAAGGGTTTTGAGAGTCTTACTAACAGACCTACAGCAGGTAAGTCCCAATGCTTATGAGTTATCAACTGGTGTCAGTCATATCAAACTATGATTGTTGCTGTTGATGCTGTTTTTACAGCATCAATCCATCTTTCTGTAACCCAAGCCTAACCCATGTCTACTTCTTCTGCACTGAACCGGAGATCTCTCCAAAAGGTGTCACCTTGCGTGAACCACCCTTCTGGTTACAGAATACCTGAAATGGTCAACTTAAGAAGCAGAAATTTTATCTTGGCTCATTTCAGACTGTGATCAGTTGAATGTATAGATGGGCACAAAACTGAATGTTGTGAGAGACACATTCCTTCAGTTTTTCATAGTGTTGCAACAGGTGTACAGTACACCTAGCTTCTAAAAATGTTAGTGCTCAGGGAAAAGCGCTATAAAAATATGAGGGATTGGGTGTGAGTGTTGAAGTTATTTTCATAAAATTGTGTTTGTTTCTTACTTTTTCCATTAACCTATCACTCAAATAATTGAGACTCTATTATATTACTTGTTAAACAAGCTTCACATCACAATAATTGAGGAGTTATTACTCCATCCTTAACCCTCTAGGCTAATTTGGCTTCCTCCCTGGGTAAATTCCAGAGATACTTGCACTTTATGGCTTTCTTACTCTTGCCCCAGCTCTTTTCTCTGATCTCTCCTGGACCTCTATGTGGCTGTATTCCCTGCTCCCTCTTCTAACTCCTCCTTCCTTGGCTGACAAGAAGTTCAGCCCTATTCTCTCCCCTGCTCAGCGATTGCCTGTAAGTTGCTTTATTGTCACATCAGGGGACAATTTGGGAGCAGTGTTTACACAACATTGAGACAGAAGATGCTCAGACAAGGATTGCAACTAAAAAGGGGGGCACATAACTCAGCATTTGGATTACACATTAAGCTTATGCCTGCATGTGCTTCCTGGATGTTGCTCAGTGGACCTTGGATTCCACCTTCAGCACTGAGGAGAGAGAGATGGAGGGCAGAGGAGAGACCCAACATATGTAAGCAGAGCTCCCTTCAGGCAGCTCTCTAGTGCTGTGCAGGCAGGGGTCACAGCCCTAAGTGCTTCCCCTCTTTGTCCATGAAGAAACAAGTATTGTCCTTCATGCTTTTCAGACAAATTTAAATACCCATTTGTCTATAGTGTTTATTTTATTCATATTGTGATGGGATACAATTTATTTGGGGATGTGGGAGTCTACTTTATTGTAACCACTATGTTCTACTGAATAAATAAAGTACCTTTTGTTTGTTAAAGCAAAAATGTGGGTGCTAGGGATCTGAACTCAGTCCTTATGCTTGTATGACTATGACTGGTCTGCTGAGCCATCTCGTTGGCCATAGCTCTTCTGGTGGGTTTCTGTGCTTTGGTGTCTTTCTACCCCATCTTAACAGAAATCTGTATCTTTGCTCTTTTGCTGCTGTCTCATAAATCCTGTGAGCCTTTTTATCCAGGTTATCCTTCTTCTCTTTATTCTCCTGGGATGTTATGCTTCAAGCCCTTGTCCTGGGTCCATATAGTCATCTCTCTGCTCTTGCTGCTCTTCACTGTGGTTTATTATTATTATTATTATTGTGTTCTTTAAATTTTTCCTGTATTTCTATTTATTTTATTTACTTTCTCTTGGCTTTTCTGATAAGTTTCTGAATTGTTTATATCCATTTCTTGCCATTTGATGGGCTTGCTTGAAATGGCATTTTGTGTTTTCCAAACCTTCCATCTCCCTGTCACTTTAGAGCTGGTTACTTTCTGTTTGGAGACGGTTTCTCTGATTATTCTCGATCCTTATGATTATGTTTCGATATCTGCACACTGACCAAGGAGGAAGTTGTCTTTATACTGCTCTGGCAAAAAAAAAAAAAAAAAAAAAAAAAACATGACCAACTTATAAAGAAAGCATTTAGCTTGAATGCGTATGTTTCCAGAGGTTTAGAGTCCATGGCCATTATGGCAGGGATTGTAGCAACACAGGGAGGCATGGTGCTGGAGCAGTAGCTTGAGGGTTACTACACAAGGAGTATTTTGAGAAGCATCTCATCTCTGAGTATTAACAATGGAGAGATTACCATCTTCCTAATAAAATTAGTTCTTCGTTTTTTGGTGTACAAGACTAAGGTAACTAGTGTGATTGGGAGGTTAGGTTTATTTTAAGATCTTATTTTCCATTAGGCCAGAAATAAGTATTAAAATTAGGATAATAGGGAAAGAAGGGATGAAGGCTAATTGACCAATAATAATGAATGGGATTCTATGGATTGCCCGCCAGTTCACATGAAGGTGATAGATCGCTACTGGGATTCAGTATAGGGGAATGAGTGATTGGGCAGAATATAAGGCCGCATTGTTCTGAGGTGTGGAGGAATGGGAGGAAAGGCAGGATGAGAACTGAGAGGACTATGGCTGGCACACCTGCTGGGTTGTTGGGGATAGATGGGAGAAGAGTGCAGGCAAGTAGGAAATATCATTCAGGTTTAATGGGGGGCGAGGTGTTGGGCAGGCTGCCTGGAGTCAGGGTCTTCTAAGCAATGAGGGGAAAATAAGACTGAAATTATGGGAATAAAAGGATAACAATAAGGCACCTAGGATACCTTAGATTGTGTAGAAGTGAAATGGGATTTCTTCTGCATCAGACTCTACGCCAGATTACATCTGATCCACAAACATGACAGAAAGAACTAACTGGCAATGGGGTGGACTTTTAAAACCTCAAATCTCACCCCCACCCCCATTGACACACCTCTTCCAATAAGGCCACACCCACCTAATTCTTCCTAAACAGTTCCATCCCCTGGAGACCAAGTCTTCAAATATACGCGATGCTATAGTGGCCACTCCCATTCAAACCACTGCAGTGGCTACTCCAATCTTTGAAGTCTACCTTTTCCTGGGAGCAGTAAACCTTTCTAGGATACCTAGGCTGTTGTGGTCCAGAAGCCCGTGAACCTTGTCGCCATTGCACTGCTGGGAGGTTACCCAGGCCCAGGGTCACTGCAGCCGGCGCTTACCTTCTGAGGTCTGCCTGTTACTGAGAGTTAGCTATTCAGAGACCGAGACTACTATCTTTAGCCAGAAACAATACAGGCTGGAATCTGAGTCCATCTCAAAGGGGCTACGGGCTCTCCTCTACAGCAGGGTGGATCTAAAGGCTCTTTCCACAGGCACTGGCTTGTGTCACGTGCTGTGAGGCTGCCTAGTGCTGAATATCACTCTGACCAATTCAGTCACTGCAAATTGCCATACCACCTCCTTTTACCCCAACCGAATGCTGTCCAGATACTGTTCTACCTTAGTCTGGTGGGAGAATGACACCCATTATACAAAACTGTCCCCCTTGCCTTCTTCGGTGTTTCATGTTTGGGGGGGGGGGAGGGAGAGAGGGAGAAGGAGTGGTATATGTACGTGTGTGTGTGTGTGTGTGTGTGTGTGTGTCAGACTGGGGAGGGAAGCATGTGTCCTCTTGGCCTATCACTTTCTGCTTCCTTTCCTTGGGATCTGATCAGCAGACCCAAGCCATCCTCCTGTCTCTACTCCCGCAGTGCTGAGATTGCAGGCAGAGACAGGCCACACCTAGCTTTTACCCTGAGTGCTGGGATTTGAGCTCCGGTTCTCAGACTTAAAAGCAAGCACCCTTACCCACTGAGCGCTACCTCTAGGTACTCCTTTCCTATTGCTCTACTGCAATCATGCCCATTGGCTTCTTTCTGCTTTCCTTGGAAGGAAACCTTTTCTTGAGAAGGCATCTTTGTGAGATGGTTGTTCAAACTGAAGCTTTGACAGGAGGGACAGTCTCTTTTACACTGTCTTGCCCCACTCATCTCCATTGTCCCAAGATGTTCATAGCTCCTAAGTGAAGCAATCATTTAAATTTCTTAATGTTTTTATCAGCATAACATTATACATAATAATGGGTTTCACCATGACATGTACATAAGATATTTCAATCGAATTCACACACACATTTCCATCTCTTGTCCCCTTTACACTCCAGCCAATCCGCTTCCTCTTCTAAACCAGCCTCCTTCTACTTTCCTGTCTGTCTCCACATGTGGTATGTGATCCAGCAAGTCTCGTCAGGGCTGTTTACAGGTGCGTGGGTGAGAGTTTGAGTACCTTACTGATGGCTATGCCACTAAAGAAAGTATCTCTTTCTCTTCCATCAATCATTAACTGCATATCCATCCTCAGGGAGGAATGGAGCCCCATGCAGGATCCTGAGGGTCTCAATCATGTCTGGTTTTGGGCAGGGGACCATAGATAGCTTTTCTGAGTCTGAAAGCAACGGCCATGCCGTGTCCAGAAATCAGCATTCCATGCCTCTCTCCCCATTCCCTGCAGCTCTTATATTCTTTTGTGATTCTCCCTGAACCTTGAGGAGGAGGCAATAAAGATGTCCCATTTATGGCTGGGCACTCAACAGCCATTTATTTTCTGGACTTTGACCAATTACGGGTCTCTGCAGTAACTGCCGATCATTGCCAAAGGAAGCATGTCTGCCCCGAGTTGGCAGCAGATTTTAAATTTCTTAGTGAGGTTAAAGTGTTGCTTCTGGTGAGAGTTGGGGAGGGGGGGGTCTCAGCAGCGATAGAGAGGCATAAATGTTGTCACCCACAAAAACAGAATTCAGCTCTGAGACAAAAGAAATAGGAAATAGTTTTAATTCGAAAGCAGTACTCATATTCTAGAAGACAATGTCAACAGAGCCACATCTTATGGACGAACTCAATAAAAGTGAAAATAATTCATACACTAAGGCGGATAAGACAAGGAATTTCCAACATTAGTCCAGGTTTTCCCAGAGTAGAGTCTACTCCTTTGTTTCTATGTGAGTGTTTGGATGTGTCATGACATCAGATCAGTGGAATGTCAATTATGCACGGTTAATGATAAGGAAATGTCGAAATAAGCAAAGGACACTTAGCATTGGTCCAAACTGGTTTCAGAAAGGTCCTGGGTTTGTTATTGTTTTGGTTTGGTTTGGTTTTGGTTTTGGTTTTTTTTTTTCTTTTGTT